ATATCTATTCCGAATGGCAGCTTTGGAATCCTAAAATAGAGAAAACTTCCACTCCGGAGTAGAATTTTGCGTGTGAAGTTGTTTTGTTTTCTATTGCGTCAGCATCCTTTTTCCTGATGGGATGAAACACAGTAGCGCCGGCCTCAACGATGGGGCGGATATATGTCTTATGAAGCTCCAAGGAGGATAGTCTGATTCTTCCAGGTAAGTCCCTTAAAAATATGGAATGTTCGCAAAAGGGCTAAGTTACAACGATTTCGTATGTGCGTGGAGAAGTCAAGGGCATTGTTGTAAGTGAAACCAAGATCCCTCACAGTGTTTACATAAGGGATTATGATTCCCTCCAGTACATATGGACGAAGGGCTACTCTGGTGAAGTCCCGATCCTCATACACATTGTTTTATGTGGAGCTAAAGGAAGCTGCCAAAGCTTTGTCCAATTATTGAGTAATGTGATAGCTTGCTGGAGATCGTTAACATCCTCGGTTGCGTTATATACCTTACCAGTTGGCGCCGCACGCATTGCGCGCGCAACACAGATCTGCGGCGAATTTTGATGGTGCGACGAAAATTTTCAAATTTGGCTTGATACACCACGAATATCTGAATTCTCAGCTAAATTCTATCCGCTCCATCATCGACGGCTTTCAACCTCTTTTTCTTCGTCAACCATTATCCTCTTTTCCCGGTCTCCGGACTGCTTCCGGACAATAAATCTCGTGGCAAACTCCGCCTACTTCGGTGCGTGCTCCGCCCACCAATAGCATTGACCTCCTTTCCTTCGCCGACCTCTACTCCCTTTTTCCCAGCCTCCTGGACTTCTTGGAGCCGAGTTATGAATTTTCGTCGCAAACTCCGCCCACTTTGGTCAAGCCCCGCCCACCGATGACAGCTGGCCTCCACTCCTCCACCCACCTCCATCCACCTTTTCCCGCCTCCGGACTCTTCTTGGAGCCGAAATTATACAATTTCGGCGCAAAAACTCCGGCCCACATTAGCGCACCACCCGACCGTAGCAGTTAACTTCTCTTTCTTTGCTGACCTATATCCACTTTTTTCCCGTTCTCCAGGACTTCTTGGAACCAAGTTATGAATTTTCCTGGGTAACTCCGCCCACCTAGGACTTGCTCCGCCCACCAATAATATTCTAGCTCTACTACTTCAACCACCCCATGCACCTTTTTCCCGGTCTCCCGGGCTTCTTGGAATCGAGTTATGAATTTTCGTGATAACTCCGCCCACTTTGAACATGCTCCGCCCACTAATGGTATTTAA